TTTGGGCCTTTGTGACTAAAAAAAATACTGTCAAGAGGATGGTTTTTCCATTGACACCATTATTATTTTAACTACCTTCACTCCTCACCAATGTTTGTTTTAAAAAGCGATGGTTGGAATTATAATGAAACTTAAACATATGAAAGTGACTTTATACATTTTCTTTGTTCTTGAGAATTGACAGCAAAAATAATGAACACTATTAGATTGTTTATTTACACTGTTTATTAGGTACCTTTATTAATTTGGTATATGTAAGGTTTAAAATTAATTTTTAAAAATGTAAAAGCTTTCTTTGAAAGCTAAAGTATTTAACATTTACTGTCTATATTTCTGAGATGAAGTATTATGCACACTATTTACATTATTCGGATTATTATTGTTAACAAAGATGAGGATGATACAATGTAAATAGTGTTAAAATTTACTGTTTCCAATGAGCAAAATACCGTGTGGTGTATTTCAAATAGAAATTATATTGATCGGAATTGATTTTTTTTTTTTTTTTTTTTTTTTGACATTAAAATCAGTGGCCATTTTTGACACATTTGTAAACAAGTTAACTCGATTTTAAAAATCTTGCAAAAATAAAATATGTTTCTGACATGTTATTTGAGGAAAATTAGCAAAATTAAAGTTAAGTTAATTTGATTTGAAACAAATATTACTTATAGCATAAAATGTTGTATACAAACATTTCTTAACTACAGGGTCTTGATTTTCTAATGTGTTAATCAATTTATTTATATCTGATTGACAGCCAAACTTGTTCATAGTTAAGTATGGTGAAGTAAATGATAAAATTTGAGTTTTTTTTCTTTTCCACCATAATGGGGACAACCTTTAAATGCTAGATTTATCAGTTTGTACATCCATACTTCAGAAATTCTGCACATAATCACATATATAAAGACAAATTGAAATTCTTTTAAATGTATTTGGAGTTGTCAGATTGTAATAAGCTTTACAATATCTGATTTGTAAATATAATTTTACTTAATAACAATATTTCTTAAGAATTATCTCATTGAAAATGAATTTTAAGTTTTAAAAACTTTATAAATTATTAAATTTAAAATTGTAAAAAAAAATGAAAACAAATATTGTAAAAATTCATTTTTCATTGAAAAATTTTTTTTTCTTCAGACAATATTGTCTTTAATATATATTATCCATAAAAGCAATTAAAAGTTTCTCTAATTAGTTTTATTGCATGTTTTATTTTTCAATTCAGAACAGATTTTTGGTAAGACTGGGTGTGATTTTGCAAAAAAAATTTGGTGATTTAAATTCTTCAAAGAATTCTGCTTTTAACTAATATAGTCACTAAAAATTATCTCATTGAATTTTTCAGGTTTTCATAAAATTAAATAAAGGGCTGAAACACATAAAAAATTTTATCAACATTTTCTAATAAAAAATTTAAAAAATAATTTAATTCATTTGTGAATAAGTCCTGAAAATTTCATTAAAATCTGACAATTATTTGATTTTTGCAAGAATTTCCAAATTAATGTGTCTGTCACTCAAAAAGAGGTCAAAATTTGCTATGCTAAAAGTTAGTACAATTGCTGATGCAAGAAAAACAAGTTTTAATCAAAGTTTTATGGAGGAGTAAAAAAAAAATTAATTAAATATTCAAAATTATTAGATTGTTTATTGGAATGGTTGGCAAAATATCAGTTAATTGCCAATCTATCCAAACGTTATAAAATGGTAAATAACGAATCCCTTATAGCTAGTTCACATTAATAATTTCGTTAATGTTTATAAATTTATGAATAAAAAATTGTTTTCATATTTATTTCTTTATAAATTGGTAAATGATAAATATTGCATTGCATTATTTACATTATTTGGACTGTTATCCTCATCTTCATTGCTATATTCACAACATTTGGCCGTTTTGTGCTACGGCCTCTTCCAGGTGATTGGAATTTTGAACTGAACACTTTATTTCTACCACGGGGGTAGATTGTTCTAGTTTCACATGCCATGCCTATTCCAGATGTCTCAGTTATTTCCTTTTAACTCAACTCTCCAAGTTTTGGTTCACTACTGCTGTGGCATGGTATTGAACTCACAACTCTTTGGGTCTAGTTACTGGATCTAACCAACATCTTTATTCACTGGGCCATGTATCCTTGAAGAACAAATGGCTTGAAATTCCAATCACCTGAAGAAGGTCAAAGTGTACAAGAGCTGAAACCTTGTGAATATGGCAATGAAAAATGAAGATAAGTCTGAATAATGTAAAAAATGCAAGTAATCATAATACCTCATCTCAGAGATATAGACAAATATTGCATTGTATTAGTTTTAATACAATTCTATTTGTTTCTTTACAACATTTCACAATCAACACCAACACTTGATAAGACACCAGAAGTGTTGAAACAAAATGGCTGTTTTTGTAGTGATGTTATAACATATTTATGTTAATTTTTAGAATTCAAAAATTATATCTAATAGTGATTAATATTTTTGTTATTAATTTTTAAGAACAAAGAAAAAAGTATAAATTCAATTTCATATGTTTAGGTTTTATTACAATTCTAATCATTGCTTTTTAAAGCACTAAACATTGTTGAGGAATGAAGATAGTTAAAATAATAGTGATGTTAAGAAAAAAAACCTGTTCTTTTAGCACTCCAGTTTTTTGTGTGCACAAAGGTTTCAAGTTAGCCTTTTTTTTTATTTGTAGCTTCCATGCTGTTGGTATTTATGCTTAGTCTACTGAGGGGATGATTTGAGCATAACACACATGCTGCTTCCTTCAATCATCTTATTCACCAGTGTTCTCTATTATTTTTATTTCATTCCATAAAAGTCAATGTGTTTCTCCTCTTCCTCTGCACATAATCAACTATATTTCTCATTGTATCATGGTTTTTTGATGTTCTCCATCTTTTATTTTCAGTGACAACTGGTCTGTATTTTGTATTCTTTGCTACACCGTATGAAATATTGTATGTGCAATTCTTAGTCATGTTTTTATTTTCTTCCAGTAGACATTTCACCTTAGGTACAGAGTAGGATAACTTTTTAATACAATCTTGCTCATCACTGCCATATTTCTGATGTATAGTAGAGTGGCTGGAGTTAATTTTTTATTGGCTTCAAAACTCCTGCATCTGGTTGTTGCTACTGGCATTATTTTTGCAGGGTGGTAATTTCTTTGAGAGTATCCATTATGTTGGTCATCTCTTGTTGGTACAATAAATTTTGCTTGCTATAATCAATAGACAAATTCTTTCTTTGTACTGTATAAATAGAATCAAAATTCAGAATGAACCAATATCCACTTGTTACGACATTCTATCTAAAATATATATTTTAGACAACACCTGGCTAATACTTTTAAAAATCAATTTTGTGTTATAGGCATGATAAAGAAAAATGTTTTTGTGTAGAATGCTGCAGAAAGAAAAATATATTTAAAAAATTTTTTTATCATAATATACCATTAGCCACTAACAAATTTGGTTCTTGTGACTATTGGTGACTGTAATAGTGTATGAAATAAAAACAAGTCCTCTATCCCTTCTCTCTTAACTCAATTTGAGGTGTTATTTTCTGCTGTTAAATTCTCTTTCAATTCTACTCTTAACTTATCTGAAGTATCTTTGCCTGTCTTTCCAATTAGAACCGAATCTCTACTGTGTGATATGCATATAACTCTGTCCATGGTTTCTACTATTATATCTAAACTGGATTTCCATAAAGCATGTGGATTTGATGGTACCCCTGCAATAGTCCTAAAGAAATGTGCTCCTATTCTCATTGTACTCTACAATAAATGTTTTGCTGCTTCTTGCTTTCCATTTTGTTGGAAATCCTCTTCTGTAGGTCCTGTTTTTAAGCATCCAAGTGAACCGTCTGATCCTTCTATCAACCTATTAGTCTTCTACTTTTTGGCAAAGTCCTAGAAACTCTAATCAACTCTGAATTGGTTAAGCATCTTACCTCACATGGTCTTCTTCCAGATAAGCAATATAGTTTTCACTTCTCTAGTCCACTGCTGATGTGTTAATGGTTATTACTGAAAGAGTCTGTTATGCTTTGGATATAAGAATGAAGCTCGGACTGTTGCTTTGGATATCTTGAAGGTTTTCTTCACAAGTTGAAAGGTTATCTGCATGAATTTTTGATTTGATTTAATCTTGTCAAATTACAAAATGAAAGTTGTTTTGAATGGCCACTGTTCTAGATCATTTTGCATTAATGTGGGTGTCACCTACAGCTCTATACTTGGACCTACTTTGTTCCTAATTTTCATCATTGATCTTATCAATGTCATCAATTCTTGAACTGGTATCTATGCAGATTGCACAACTATTTACTCCTGTCTTAATGGCGAGTCTGATAGGTTCAATATGGTCAATTTGGCAGCTGATCTCAAAAATGACCTCCAATCTGTTATTAACTGAGGTAAGAAATAGCTTGTTAATTTTAATGCTTCTAAAATGAAACTGCTCTCTTTTAATCATCTTAAAGGATCTTTTTTGCTTTCCATCAGCATGGCTAATGTTAACCTGCAGGAGAGCAACTCATTGCACCTTTTCTGACTAAGATTTTCTACTGACATGAAGTGGAAAAATTATATTGCTATATCTGTTTCTAGGAAAGTTGTTTCACTGTTGTGATAAATGATTTTTCTTGTCAAAATCTATTTTACACTTTTATACGGCTACTGTCCATGCATTGAATATTGCTGTCACTTCTGGTCTGGTGCTTTTTGCTATGTATTTAGAGATTCTTGATAATAGCCAAAGTATCTGCAATATTATCAGTCCTGATCTGGCATCTCAACTTAAGTCACTTTCCCACTGCTGTAATGTAACCCTGTGTCTTTTCTTTTTATCATATACTTTTCTGTGTTGTGTGTGCTTCCATTCACACTAATAAACACTCCCACATGTGGTGCACATTTTAACATTAACCTTTGCATTTATGCTGCCATTGAAATTTTTAATGGATTTTTTTTTTTTTCTTTCCAGCATCAAGCCAGTGTATGGAGCTCAGCATCCTCCAAGAATTGAAAAACCTCTTAGGTTAGTTTATCTGAATTTTTGTACTGTTTACTTGTAATGTATTTATTTGAAAAGCAAAAACATTATTTAATTTCTACAGTAAGACCATAGCAAACAAACTTTGGATATAATCACTGAGTTGAGGTCATCTGTCCAGTGGCTGATGGAATTGCATATTTCTCATCAGTGTCTTTGATTTGTGATTGAATCTAGGAAAAAAAATTACAACAACAAAAAAAAAACAATCAAAACAAGAATTAAAAAAAAAAAAATGCTCCTTCATTTGGAAGATTAGTCCAACATAATATTCTTAACCTTCCTTGCACCATTAGGAAATATAAATATAGTCTTGTCTGATGGCGTTGTGGTAGCTGTGTATTTTCTATTAATGTCTTTGGTTTTTCTTGTCAATTTTTGTTCCTTTATCTCACCTCAAAGAAGGCAGGCTTTCTGCTTTGGGACATTGGCACAACACTCTCCTTTTTTGTATTCTCTTCCTTAGTAAGTCAAACATATTGTTTAATCACTGCATTTATTATAGGTTTTAAATATTTTTCATGCGTTCATAATTTCACAAATTAAAGTATAATTCCTTTTTCCTTTCACACGCATGGGATTGGATTTAAAAAGTGTCAATATATACTAAATATCTGTTCACATTTTAGTAAGAAGAAGCATCTCTGTCTTTCAAGCTGTTGTTTTCAAATTGAAGTTTTAAATTTTGGTTTCATCGGAATGCAGTAGAGTAACCTCAATATTTCATGTCGTCCCTTAAATTTATTTTTTTAATAGCAATCCTGGAACCCCAAAGAAGGAGGATAAAACGAAACAAAGACCGAAAGATTCCTTTCAGGACTTTGAGATTAAAACATCAGATGCCTGGGATGATGGTGATGATGACCTTATTCTTATGGCCAACATTCAGATGTCACTGAAAGATGTACAGTTGACAGCCCGTGCTGTACTTGATAAGCATAGCCGACAGCGCCAACAACAGAATGGAGCCAGAGAAGAGGCTTCTGCTATATCTGCCACTGCTACAACTTCATCTCCCCCAACACTTTCAGGTAATTTCTCAGCATTCTTTGTTTTCAGTTAGTGTGTTTGAGCAGTCATCTATTATAAAAATGATATTTTGCAACCTCAGTACATTATAATACTAAAGTTTCAAAATCTGTATTTCTAATAGATAATTTTGCCATCTTGAATGATTTCAAAGGATGTGTATGTATGTGTGTACATGGGGTATGTGCTGAAAAGTTCTCAATCTAATTCGCTTCCAAAAATCTACCCAAATGACCAAATATGATTTTTTTTTCTTCTAAACAATGTCTTGATCAGTCCATGAACTTTTCATCACACTCTTTAATACAATGTAGATTTTCCTAAAATTTTTACCCATTTAATGTAGATATATCATAATCATGAATGAATATAAAAGTGTGATTACTGATCAGAAAAGCCATTTCATCTTGAGCTGATATGAATCATATTGATACTGGTTTCTTAACTTCATTGCCATCATAAACTTTACCTGATGCCAATTTAGAAATTTTACAGACTGACTAAAATTGTGTATGACTTTTCTAGTGTGGTTTACAAGGGATAATGTCTTGGTTTGGATTGTATTTCAAGAAAGCTCTAGAAAATGTTCTGTATTTGATGAATTAAGACCTAAATTGTTACTCCTATGTAAGGACATCATTGTTAGCTTTTTTTCATATATAATTACTGATTATTTCACAAATTCTTTATGTGACATTTGGAAAAGGATCTTTTAAATATTTTCATTTTTTCCATCTTCTATTTATAATAGATGTCTTGTATTTAAGAAATTTCTGTACTGAAGTCATGTTATAGAATTGCATTTCAAAATTTTGTTTAATGAATTAGAGGCTGAAGAATTTTCATAACAAAAAATGATTGATATAATTGAATCATTAATTGTTGAAAGGTTTTTATTGATCACTTCTATTAACTTCAGCAATAAATAAAAATCAAGAAGATCAATAAAATGTTCCTTATTGAATATACAAGTGCAATATTGAAAGGTCCTTGGTTTGACCCTCTTCCATAAATCAATATTTTAATGACCAAACATCAGAATACTGATTTTTGGGAAGTGGGTTAGGTCAAGAGCTTTTTAGCACTCCCTTGTAGTTATAGTTTTTATCCCAGTTTGTGTGAACTCTAACAATCTGAATAAATATTTTTGCTTCCATCAATCACACTGAAGAGTAATAGTCAAGGAGTTTGTTAAAAGAAAAAGTAAAGAGTAGTAAGTCATACATCTACATGTAGATAACAAATACCTACACATATTGCTTATTAAAATTAAATTATAAGTAAACAGATATGTAAAGTGTATTAGGAATAAATCTTGCTAATTTACTTTGTAGTATCTGCTTTGCTGTGAAATTTTAGCAAATTGAGATGACTGACCGAATAGAAGAGGTTTTGGAAAGCTTCCTGTAACATGCAAGCTGATACCGTTATAAGTGTGCATATGTTTGTGTAAATGTAATCAGATTCTTGTAACAATGGCTCAATTACATATGTAATCATTGTCAATTTCTATTGTTGGTCGATATAAAGTGTAATGAAGTATCATTTTACAGGCCAATGAAAACACAAGACTGAAGTTCTTAAATGTAGCATTACATTACATTTAACTCTGGATTTTGTTGATCACCTGTGTGATCTGCTGCAGCTCTGGGCCCACATCTGAATATGGACATTACATTCTTGTGTGTGTATCTGTCTGTCTCTCCCTTACTATTAGAATTGGTATTTTTATCTCTTATATATATATATATATATATATATATATATATATATATATATATATATATTTTATGGTATGCTATATTTATGAGTTAAAGTGTACAATATCAGGGATAGAGCATATGTAAATATGAAAGTGGACATTGACGTCAACGGCAAGCTGTAACAGTCCTTCATGCTTAAATGCAATTGACAGGCCATATGCATTGCGTTTAGGCATGAGACAGACTGTTGCCACTGGGTATTGACCTCAATGCCCACTTTTATTTTTATTATATATATTATCATAGATTTCTCTTCTATGTATGTCTGCACTTGGTGGTTAGAAGGTTTTCTTTCAGGTCATCTCTTCATCTAATTTCTCTGAAGGTCACTGAATGCAAAGAGTATTGATGCATCATCTAAAGTGAACCATATTCTACACAGTTTTGCATCATCAAAGAATGAAATTAAAAGTATCTTTGTATTTTTTCTTTAGATGTAGTATTTGATCTTTCAGGGGGTCATCTGACTGCTGTTCCTTCTGCTACTTCGTTGGGGGCAGGACCTGGTGTTGGAGTACGACTCAACAGTCACTGGCAGCCACCCAAAATCACACCTTTGCGAATAGGACAACCTCATGTACCTGACCGGGAGGCGGCCAAATTAGAGAAATTCAATGCCGTTTTGTCTGCACCAAATACAGATCTAGGTATGTTATAAAATGCAAAAATTATAGATTGAGAATTATGGAAATTTTTTTTTTTTTTTAAAGCACATTTGCAATCTGCTCAAAGATTTTTGTTGACTTTCATATGTGGCTTTTTTACAGCCTGTAAAAAAGTTTAAATATTTTATTAAATGTGGTTATTTTTTTTTAATAAAAATAAAATATAATTTAATGGTTTTACTTTCCTGGCCAAACCTCAGGTCATAGGTTAATGATACTTGTGTAATTTTAAAACTACATTTCCTTTTTATCTATTTATTATTATCATAGCAGCTCAGTACCCAAAGTATTGAGTACTGATTATATATTGACATAGGATAAGGTTTTCTTATCTATTTTGGTTATAAGTGTGTAACATCTTACAGATTTTTGTCCTTTTTTTCAATTAAACTTTATTTTTTCAGCTGTATATTTTGTCTTGTGTGAGTTTTCCATGTCACTCTCAAAGATATCCAGGCTAGATTATTAAATGGAACTGTTGATCACTTACCTTTGTGCTCTATTTGTAATTTATTTATTTTAATAAACTGATTGCTGATTGAAAGTTTGTATCTCCCTCTTCAGAAGATTTACGGAGGCTTAGTTGGTCTGGTATACCAAAATCTGTGAGGCCGACTGCCTGGAAAATTTTATCAGTAAGTATTACATATGTGATAAAATCACTCTTTCACCTCTCTTCAAAGTGTAAGATTTTAAATGTTTGTGTTAATAACTGTGGTTACATTAAATCAGTTGTTTTCAGTATAAATCCTAAATGTTTCTTCACACTCCAACCACCTTGAGTATCAAAGGATGCATTTTGTTGATGTCTAAATGTTAAGCTGCCCAAAAAATGTTAAACTGCCCAAAGAATATTGAGTCAAGAGAAGTTGGGAGAAAAAGAGAGGTAAGAAATAAAGAAAGAATGGTAAAATTAGAAAGGAATGATATTAGACAGATGCTGAAATAATGGAGTATGACCAATATTTAGAATTAAGGTTGTGGAAATTAGAAGTTGAGAAAAATTGAAACAAAACAGATCAGAAAAGATTCATTTCTGATTCAGAAGACTAAATGTCCATTTGTATGATGTTCCCGAAATACCTTCTCATGACAGTGGGTCTTCTGTTGAATCTGGTATCATGTTGTGGGCTGAAATCAGTAAATGTTTGAAGAAGGGTAATATATGCAGAGCATGGGAAATATGCCACAATGCTGGTTAGTATTTGAAGAAATTCAACAAATGGAATCTCTGTCATATGTTGGGATATTAGAATAAAGAAAAGGTTCTCTGGAAGGCATTTTCCATTTCATACCCAATCATACAGGCTTGATAATTTTTGTAGTAATGAAATAAATTATCTGGAAATCTGAACTTTGATTAACTCTCTACTCTGTCTGGGATTGCTTGTCTGGCATAATGTGTCCCCAGCAATAAACCCAATCAGGACAATTGAGTATTCAATGTGACATTTCTTTGACCTAGTTGAACAAGATGAAGTCAATACATGCACATGTCACAGCTGTTTGAGGTTTCCTATAGCCCCACTGAACTTAAATAAAGTCAATTCAGGTTTGCTATGGTAAAAATTTTCTATCCCAAGTAAAAATCATCACAAAAATGGCAAGTCATTTTGTCACAGCTTATTTTCTCTGAAAAAAAAAATGGTTTTTCATACTTTTATAGGGGTAAAATATTGAAAAATGACTGTTTTATCATCATCTAAACAAATATCAATGAAACTTTTGATCTGAACCTCATGAAACTAAGTGTTTTCTGAAAGCAAAGGATATATTCCTTCATTTAAAAGTAAAATTGGCTGGTGTAAATGACTCAAATTTTTATTTCAGGGGGTAAAATGTGAAAAAATAGTGAAAATTTTGCATTTGTTCTAGTTCTAAACAAAAACTTTCCCCATTAATTGAAAATTAATCTTTTTTTTTTTTTTTTTTTTTTTTGAAAATCGGAAAGCCTAAATCATAATCAAACTATTTTGGGCATAAAATTGAGTTTTGAAGTAAATCAGCATTCCTAGGGGGTTAAAATGCGACAAAGTCCATTGGTAATTTTCAATTATATGACTGCCAGGGGTTAAAAAAATTGACACCCGGCCACAGAAATCTTTTGTAAAAGGTGAAAGATTTACCTGCAATTCCTGACCATCAGAAACCAAAAGTAAAATTAAGCCAAATTGACTTTGACTTGTCTGGTTCAAAGGTCAGCCAGCCAGCCAGCAATAAAACGTTTAGAACAAGTTGTCATCAGCTTGTAATAAAACCTACCACTCCCAGATAAGAGCAAAGAGTGAAAAAAAAAGGGTCACCATTGGTAGGGCTTGATATAAGGTTTTTTTTTTTTTTTTGGGGTTTTTTTTTTTTTCAAACCTATGTTTGAACAATGGCTTGATGTGTTTTGTTTTGTTTTTAACACCCTGTGACACGGTGATGGCAACAACACTTAGCAGACGATATTGTTTTTTTTGCTGCATGTCTTTCGTATTTCCCATCGCCAGGCCATTTAGCCATTCCTTTTATTCAATGATGTTCATGCCAAATTAAGGAGAAAGGGATGAAGTTTGAATGATATTACTTTGAAGTGAAAATAAATATTTTTTTATAAAAAAAGGAGGATTTTTTTTCAGAAAATTGGGCATAATTTCTTAATGCTAACTGCTGAGTGACATTTTCCACAGCCAAATCGAAGATTAATTACCAGTGAATAATTCCATGTGCAAACAATAGCCATCTGGATCTTATAATGTCGCCCGAAAAGGTCCAGAAGTTTACTGATTGATTGAAAACTTGTTCATAATTGTGTTTTTCATGGTCAGTTTCCATTATTTCATCTTGATGTCATTTTCAGACAGCCAAGTCATCAAGGATTCAGGAAAACAATTTGTCACAGGTTTGCTTTAAGAACTTTACATTCTATGAGGTGTTTAAAATGTTACTGACCAATGGCATTTTTCGCTGAATATTTCATTTACATGCCATGTTAAATTTTCCTATATGACAAAAATAAGTTTTAAACAGTCATGATGTCTAACCATCAGAAACTCTAGAACAGCACCCATTTGACAAACCTTTTAGATGGACACAAAATTTGAATTTATTTTTATTTATTTATTTATTTATTTATTTTTTTTTTTTTTAATCGGTTCATAAAAGGATAGTTTCGTTTGTTACTAAATCATTCCTTTCTAAATGACTGGAACCCATGACCCATAAACATTGATTTAGAAAAAGTTTTTGTTTATGATAATTTATTCCATTTTATTAATAGATTTGACATTGTCCTCCTAACAAAGATGTTAGTTCAAATGTAAATAGTAGATAGAAATGTGTGTGTGTGTGTATATATATATATATATATATATATATATATATATATATATATATATATATACACACACATTATGAAATTATATTATACAGCTAGCATCTTGCTTTTTTGCTGTTGACTGTAGTTTTCTAATTTTTTAAATTAGATTCGCCTTTTTGTGCTTTTTATTCCCTATTGTCTGGTGTTCAATTTTGATTTAATTTGATTTATTTCACTTTTTAATGTCTTTCAGGGTTATCTCCCTTCCAGTTTTGACCGAAGACAGCCAACTTTAGAACGGAAAAGAAAAGAATATTTTAGTTTTGTTGATCAATACTATGACACTCGCCATCATATAGAACATCAAGACACTTTCAGACAGGTAATTAGAAAAAACCGTTTTCATATTAGTATTTTTGACAGGTGTATTTGTAAGACTATTCATAAAATCAGCAATTTCCTTACCATGGACAAAAACATTTTTACTTTTATTTATTTAGCAAAATTTAAATTTGTAACTTTTATTCCTTCACTTTTTATCTTTACTTTCAAAAGGTTGGAAGCGTCTTGTATGTATTAATATCATAATTAATATTTAACTTAGCCTGGCACTGGACCACAGCAGAAGATTAGCACTTTTGAGGAATTAAACCATTAGCTAATGTTTTGCAAGACTAAAGATTAAATTTCTCATTAGTGGGATTCCATTTAGATAAGACCATAGAAAGTGACCACTTAGTGAGTAATGAATCCACTCGTTAATGTTCTATAAAACTTGGTAACTGTTCTGCTATGGAATTCTTATGAATATAAATAGTATTTCAATTAACATGTAAAGGTCTTCACTTGAAAGAAGAACTTTTTAAGATACTGTAATTTCAATGATATTAAGTATGCTTATAACAGGATGTGGCAGAAATACCTCCCACATAATAGTAAAACATTACTGGCAGTGGTGTCTTCATGTAGCTAATGTTTTACCATTATGTGGGAGGTATTTTTGTCACATCTTGTATTTGTAATTATCTGCAAAATGGCTAGAAAATAGTTTGAAATTCTGGCTTTCATATACAAGTTTTATGCATTTCCTGATCTTGTTGCCTTGTGTAAAAGAATATAAATATGATTTATGACGTACTTTCTCTTATCGTTACTACACATTATCAGCAGAATTAGTCAGAACCCATGTTAATTTTTTTCCTTTTTATATTATCCTTTTGCTAGTGTCTTGGTGTAAGATTTGGCAAAGATCGTATCTTCAGTGTCTTATCTCTACCTTTTTAAATGGATTGTGAGTCGTAAAAAAAATAAATCTAATAAATTATATAAACTTCTTAGTGTATAAAAATAGATGTTTGGTTTATTGTATGACTGATTGATAACTAATTCTAATGATAGTCCATCTTGATTAGCACTAACTTTAAGAGGACCCGTTTTTTGCAATATCTTCAGCCATTGTCTACTTAACTAGAAAGCTCACAAAACTTAAATGATGTTTTTTGTTTTAACTTGCATCATTTGGTATCTTCTACTTAGTATTGATTAAATATTAAGAATCTGTATTTCAATAATATATATATATAATAGTAAAGTTGTCCACATTTGCTTCTTATAATGTGTAGATATTGTAAGCTGATGAAAGGAATTTGAGAGAGAAAAAAAACAATAATAAAAATATTTATTGTTTATTAATAGGCCTTTTAGACCTTTAGCCTCTTCATTTAAATGCCAAAAAGAATGCTGAAAGTCTGAGTTAAAATACATTTTTAAAATAAGTTTACACATTCTAGGTTTAAATAGGAATTTAAATGAATGCAGTTTCCCTAAAAAGCCATCTACAAGCACTCCATATCCCTGACCATGGCAAACAACTAGCCCACTACTAGATTTCATCATTGATATAACACATGTGCAAAAAGAAAAAAAATACCTCTCAAAAAATCCAATTCTGTTTTTTCTTGTTGAGAAAAGTCATAAGTGTATCTGAAATTTCCAATTTTTTAACATCTTTTCTCACATGCATCTATTTAGTCTAAAGGCCTAATAATACAATTAAAAAAAAAACTGAGATAGGATTTGTTTATATTTTGCATTTCTACAAAAGTTAGAATTCTACAACTGTTATTTTAGCCATTACAGTTCCTTATTTAGCTGACAAGTAAATTCCAATAATTTAAATTACTTGAAATGTTGATCAAGAATGAATCATAAATAACCCTGAAATATTAATTTGGCATTTTTATCTTTCTTTTTTTTTTTTTTTTTTTTAAGTACAAATTTAAAAACGGTAAGATGCTGTGAATAGTCAAACAAATGAACACCTAAATGCAAATAACATTTCATCAATTTGTTTAACTCTGGTCTGCAAATTTTGAGCCATTTCTCAACTTAATGTCAAAATTAAACTAGGATCATCAAACCAAACTGGCTGGCACATCAAATTTTCTCCACATTGAATATATATTTACAATATAACATAATCTAATCATAGATATAGTCTAATTTACAATATAACATAATCTAATCAATATTCCGTTTGAACCAGAAATATTTTTGCTTGGTTCTTGTATTTGGGTTAGGAATAAAAGATTTTCTTGGAGTAGTGGGTTTAAAAAATGTTTCTGTTTATCAAAGTGAATATTGGCATTATTGTATATTAAATCTGATTTTAAATTAAATGACAATATTTTGTTGTCATTTACTGAATTAATTTGTCTGGTTAATTTTCTCGGGTATGATTTTTGCCTGTAGATATAACGACATGGCTGAATTTTGGTAGGAATTTATTAACTTTTCAGCCACTAAATTTCTAGAAAGCAAATTTTTCTATATTTTTTTTTACCATTCTTATTTCTGATGTGGGTCTTTTGCAGACCGGACTTATAAAAAAGATGATGATAAATGATGATGATGAATTGAATTTTGTCTGTTTTTAGAATTGGATCCTTGAGTTTCTAAAAGGCCCAAATTGACATATGGAGTTGGTCCCTTAGAAACTCCAGGATTTGAGAGCATGCAATGATATTTAATATTCATAAAATTTAAAGTTGTGTACAAAAATTTAAGGTCTATTTAAATCTTGTAGGTTTAAACTAATAAAGTTTCAATAGTTTTTTAGACTTTCCTTTCTATTTTCTAAGTCTTCATAAATTTCTGCACATTTTGTACATCCACCATAAAACAGTGATAAAACAGTGTGGAAATACAAAATGTCTTCCTTGTGATAAATGTAAAAAAAAATAAATCTATGGATACATTTAAATCCACTTTTTGATCCTTGTTTGTTCATGTAAGTCTCATTAGTTGACATTTGTTAACCATTCAACAGTTTAACATTTTGAAGGAAAGACTACAGACTTGGTCCTTCTTTGGCTTGTCTTTGATGATGATTAACTGGAAGCTGTTATAACTTGTTTGGCTCTTATATGTCCCACTTCAAGCAAAAACATTTAATTTTCCTCTTTCAGGATTGAAAAAAAATGATGAGAAATTAACCAAATTACATCCCTTTTTTTCAACTATGGAAGCTTTTAAGTTTTTAAACCTACATACATTTATTATGGTTTAGAAATATGTTTACTGTTAAACTGAATTTGAATTTAATCAGAACTCTATGTAGATTACTTTCATTTAATCATGTGTTTAATCTGTTCATGTATTTTCTTGCTTCTCTATTATTGTCATAATCCACCTTTTATAATAATCTATATCCTTTTCTTACCTGCTTCAAACTGTACTCATTTACTTACCTTTCTAAACTCTTCTAGCAAACACTTATCTGAACCATCCATGATATTCAACTTTGCTACCTACTTAATATTTGGTATAAGTGGATGGGACACAAAAAAATGTTTTTATGATAGACTTAGCTATGTTTATAAAATACTTGTTTTAAGGAATTAGATTTTCTTGGATCACTCTGGGGGCTGGAGGAAGGTTTTACTTGCTAACATTTGTCTTGTATATAAATAGATTTCAAATCTAAACAAATGTGACTGTAGAACAGAAACTGCAGAAAGATACCAGTAAATATTGTTTGGTATCACATGACCAGTTTACAAATATTATAGATTTATACATGAATAACAAATTTAAAAAAATCCTAAATTAATTGGTTATAAATATAAAATAATTGTGTTAAGTAATTTGACTTAAGTAATTTAACAATGCCAGAATTGTTTATTGCTATATAGTGTGATCAGTTTATCAAATGATTTAATGTTTATTCTCACCTTCTTTTAATGTAATAGAAGATGTGTCTTTACTGGTTTTGCATTGAAATTTCTAATTATAATTTTAATGAGCATCAATTTCAAAATTTAAATTCTTCAGAAAATTGGAAAATTTCTGAATTAATTATTGCACTTTTCCTAAAAGCAAATAAGTGTATGTCCATGACTTAACAGTGCTTATCTGATGTATCTAATGAATACAGCTGAAAGATACAGAAACATCCAAAACTTTTTGACTAATAAATTATTCAATATTTATGTTTATGCTATAAAATAACACCAATTATTCATTTTCATGCCTTGAAAAGAATTTGATTTGAGCTGAAGAAGCTCTATACTTAATCCAAAACAATTAGTAATTACTAGCATACTGTACTTGTTTTTAACCAGTTTTCTTCTCTTTTTATTTTTTTTTGCATCTTACCACCATTCTACCTGTCCTAATTTCTATCTTGTTCACCACTTAATCTTTCAGATGTCTCATATGATCATTGATTACCTGCCAATCTTTTTATTGTTGACTCCTTCATATTTATTACGCTTATATTGTTAACCTTCCAGCAACTCTCTTATTTGTTATATTCATGTTTTCTGTCTATGTGCCAGGCTATATGTCCATGTTTGTGTTCCTTGTTACTTTTAAAGGGTCACATTTCCATCATTGCTGATTTCAGATCCACATAGACATTCCCCGAATGAACCCTTTAGTTCCCTTGTTCCAACTGAAGGTAGTTCAGGAAGTAAGTATATTGCTGTGTGTACCTCATCCAAGGAACATGACCTTCTGAAACAACTACTGCCCTCCCCTCTTTCTTTTTGTTTAAACACATTATAAATCAAGAGATGTTTGTGTACTGTTGTCACTAAACATTATAAAATGCAGCTTTTCTACTACTTGAAAGATGAATGCCTCTACTCAAAAGCTTCATTATAAAGAAAATATGGATTGTTAATTAATTTTACTTTAATAAAAGGAACATACTGGTGTGGAGTTGCTATACCATAAAATCTGCAGTTGATTCTGTAGAAATCACATGCTTTCCTTAATCACATAGTCAATGTTTGCCAATTAATAAATTCAGTTTTTTAAAATTATTATTTTAACATTGTCTCTTCAAAGTCTAAACTGACTTGATAAAACATTAGATTCAATTTTGTGATTATTTAGCTGTTTTTCTTCTTTTAAAATTTCTTATTTTAAATATGAATTTACTTTTGGTTTAAGGATTAAGTAAAATTCTATAGAAATACTTCTTGATGACAGCTAAATTGAAAATGTAGATATGATTTCTAAAAACATCTTAATGCTCAATTGGATCTGTATAATCTAAGTGTACAATCCTTATAGTCGTTTTCAACCAGGGTATCATGACACTCCAATTTAAAGTGCTTTATTGTTTTAAATTCTGCATATGAACATTACAAGTATGTTTAAATTGTTTATAAGTTTCATGGCTGTCTTATTATAAAGATATTAACAAATATTGAAAATGAAAGTACATACCTTTTTATTTATAGTGCACTATTATGCATCACCAGAAGTTGTATTAGGAGTAAATTGGGCACTTAAAGTGAATTACTGATAAGGTCAAGAAAAAGCTAAAAACTACTACCATATGAAAGTAAGTTTTCAGAATTTAGAAATACACAGATTGGCTGTCCAGTAGGTATGAAGTGAGAAAGACCTGCTTATCATTTAGATTTTTTAATCTTAGACTAAAACCTACAAGTACATAATTATAGATAGGGTTTAAAAGAAAATTTAATAATTCTTCTAATTTTATTGTAGAGACCTCTAAAAAAAATGCGATACCTAAAGTTTAAAATGAATTTTAAAAAAATGAAAAATATTTCTTGAAGCTTTTGTTTTAGTTTTAATTTCAAACTAATAGTCAATTTAATATTTCCATTGCTGTATTTCAAAAAGTAATTTAAAATGACTGGAAGGAGGGTTTTTTTTCTAAAATAGTTGATTAGTACCCTTTTTTAGTTGCAATTTAATTCTCTTTATTAAAAAAAATCTTATAAAAATAACATGAAACTTTAATTGGGAAATATTAGCTGATTTAAAATATAATTAATTTGATTTGAAAAAAAAAATTATTTACTTTAAGTTTAAAATAGCACAGAAATGCTTTTTTAAAACAAACAGTAGTTGTTTTTAACTGACAGTAGCCATGTTTACGTGATAAGTGATGGCAAGTGCTGTTAAAGGTATTGACACCTTTATTGTTGTTCTACGGTGACTTTATCTGTTAAAACATAATTTATGTTAAGGGAGTGCTTTTTTTATAAATTTTTTTCATAATTTATGACAAGGGAGCACTTTTTTTATATAATTTTTAAGTACTCAGTAAAATATTCTGCATAAGCTAATTTTAGGAATGTTGATTTTAAATTTACTATAGTCATTGCCTTTATTTTCTGATAATGTTATATATGGTCACCCATACTTTCAAAATGGACATGTTTATACACATAAAAAATGTTAAAAATTATTTAAAAAATCTTGTTGCAAAATTTTCAATTTTTGATGAGCAAATATAGTTTTCACTTAATTACAATATCACCTAATGCAATTAAAGTAATGCAGAATTTTAAAAGATTTATATATAAATTATTATAATAAATTATAATTAAAATTTAAAAAAAATTAAATTAATCTTCTAAAAATTAATTATTCACAAAAAAATTGTTTTTCTTAAGACAATAATTTCTTTAATAAATCTTTTTTATAAAAGCAAAAGCTTTTCTAATTAAATAATGTCAGTTTTATTGCATTTTTTATTTTGCAATTCAGAGCAGATTTTCAGGAAATGAGTAGCAGTTTGAAAAAAAACATTTTACATTCCTTAAGGAGTCCTGCTTTTAAGTGATAAAACAAATTTTGCGATTAAAATTTAATTTATGTAAATTTCATTAAATTAAGGGTGGGGGAACATATATATATATATATATATATATATATATATATATATATATAGGAAATATATAGTGGAAAATATACATACATATGCAAAATATATAAATACCCATACATGTATATTTTTAGAAAAAAAAAAAATTCCAAGAGGAAGAATCCAGGTAGAACTCAATGTCTAGGACAGAGTAAGGATATAATAAAAAGGCTTAAACACTAATATTCCATGGTCGTATATTTATTTTATTTTATTTTTTTTTACCTAGACTTTCTAAAACAAAAATATTTCAAAAATAATTTCATTCATTTGTGAATAAGTCCTGAAAGTGTCATTAAAATCTGACAATTATTTGAATTTTGCAAGAATTTCCAGATCAATGTTTTTCACTAGATATGACATTGACTGTTGACACAAAAAAAACAAAATTGTTCTAGAAAGGATTAAAAAAAAATTTAATAAAATAATGAAGAAAATACTTTGGTATCTCCTTAATAAAACAATGAAAACTATCAATGAAAATATCACTGATGACACGGATCTCTGTGCAGTCATGAAAATATTTTAATTTTCCTTTTTAAAAAAAAAAAAGAAAAAAGTTTCTTGTGCTGTATGACCCATATAAGTTAACATTTCTAATAAAATATTTATTTGATGTTTGTGCATGTGGACAAATCTCTTGAAGTAACTGTCTTTCCCATAACCTTTTTAAAAAAAATTTATTTAAAAAATCTTTGAGCAAAACTCTTCACCTATAATGTGGTTGTTAGAAGGCCATGGTCTTTGGAGTACCTCATCTTGAGGTGGCAGCTTATTCAAAAGGTGTAAACCTTGGCTGCTATCATCACTTGTCTTCCATCCTTGTCTTGTTAGCTAAAAATGGATGGTTTGTCACAGAAATTTGTTTGAATACTTTTTCTCTTTCCTTTTATCATGTGTGTCTCCTTCAGCCAGTAGCCACACTCTCACTTTCTCTTGCTCTCAGCTGTACAGGCACTTTGGGTGGGAGACAAATGAGCAAGACCAATAGATCATCAGAAATTAGCTGCAACATATCTACCTCCATAATAACTTAAAGTTGTCCCCTTTTTCTTTTAATTCTGATTGTTAAGTCAAATCAAGTGATCAAATATTTTTACTACATCTGGATTACTTATATTCATTTGTACATGCATAAAGTTAATTCAACTTAAAATAATTAAATTGATTTTTATTGTATTAGTTTTTAATTGTTTGGTTGGTGGTTGGTCCTGATAAGAGAATACTAGTTACCATACTAGGTCCCATTCAAAGAGTTCAAAATTATTTAACAGTGTTCATCTCTTCAAAATACAGTTTGGTTATAGTGTACCAATAGTAGGGAAGAATCTCTGTATTAGTGGGATTTTTCTTTTTCAGCCATTGTGGTGTGCCAGTGAGTGGGTTGGATTTGTCTTTTCCATGCATATCAACATGAAATTAATTCTTTTTTGTTCTCTAGAATAGAATATCTATTGAATAGAATTATTAAATGAACAAGTGATTTGTCATTTTTTAAACTTAGAACTGTTAATGACAGCTAAACTGAAAAGGAAAGATTCAATGTTGAGTAGAACAATACAGATTCTGGATTTAATTCACCTTCCTCTAATTGAAAAGTCATATTACTAGCATTGATAGTTAAAATATTCCTGCACACCCCAAAATTTTTCCATCTATTTATAATGTGGTTTGTTTTAACAATCTTATAATTTCACACATGGCTTATATTAACTTCCAATGGTAATAATGTTGAGTTAAAACAAATAGGAATTTGAATGGAAGTAAATTTTTTTTCACATTTTAGTAAATGATTTAATATCAGAAAATTTTGGAAGTGTTGGTGGGAAGTGTTTTACTTTAATCGCATTTTAATTTTTTTTTTTTTTTTGTGGAAATTCACTTTTTAGCATTTAAGCTTGATTTCAAATAATTCCATTAATAAAAGCATTGTCAACAATTTGTAAGAGAGATGGACCAATTTTGTAGGTATTATCTTTTTAATGAAAGAAAGCTTTTTAAAAACAGTACTTGATAACATTTTAAAGATATTGTTATTTTGTGGCAATTGGGTGGAGTATCAAAATGTTGCCATGACTTAATACTTCTGATATGCTCTAGTTATATATCTGCTGAGCCAAATTCATCCATGATTAATATTTGACCTTTTCATGTAATCTTTGATTGTGAACTACAAAACAAAATCAATATTTAGATAGAATTAAATTTTAAACAATTCCTGTTCTTTCCTCTTTATACATTAGTTTTTTGCTCTAGACTGTTTAAAAACTGGATTTCATTTCTGATGTTAACCTTTTAAATATGGCTTCTTAGTCTTTTTACTGAGATGTTATTACTGGAGAGATCAGAGTTGTATGTCTTCATGTCCATTTTTCTTTTCTCTTTTAAATATAAAGAATTAATAACAATAGAAATAATTAATTGGAACAAATAATTAGAATGCAAATAGTTAAAGTTATTGCTCAATTTTATTTCAACATTTTTTTTCTTGTTAAATAACTTTATTTTGATTAAATATATGAAATATCTGGAGGATCTTATAGATTGGCTTCATGATTTTATTATGTTTATATATTCTGGCATATGTGTGCCTCACTTAAACAATTGTAGCAAAATGAATTATTTTTGTCTTGAAAACATCACTTGATCAAAAATTTAGATTCAATGTTTCTCTACAGTAAGAAATAGACTGATTAATATTTAATTTTTTCTTGTTTTTAGTCAACCATTGAAAAATGCCACAAGAGATGAAATAATTTTGAAGATGTAGACTTTAAGATTTT